CTTTCGATACCACCCTCAAGTGCCTCGTCAGAAAGAGTCTGGTCAGCATTTGCAAAAATTCATTCAAAAACGAGAAATAGAATAAAGAATGAAAGAGTCGAAAAATTATTATCAATAAGGCATAACATACATTTAAAGGATCATACAAATACATCAAGTTCGGGATATCATCAAAAGAGTTCAGATTCCGATTTATCAATATCAAGTGATAATGATGATATTTCAATTTCACCCCATGAAGATATTGATGCTATTTCATTAGCATCCCAAGAATTTTAAATGTAATTTCTGATACATGCTTTTTGTAATTAATAAAGTTATTCAAAAAATGATGTTTATAGTGTATTTATTTTTGTCTTTATTGTTTAATTATATTATTTTCCCTTAGTTTCCCAATTTAATAAAGTTATTCCATAAAAAAAATTGAAAGGTTTAAAGCAGGGATGCGAATTCGACAAAATTTTTGCCCGGGTTCGGTTCGGGGTATAAAAAAAGGTGGGTTCGGTTCGGGTTCGGTTCAGGGAAATATTTTTGAACCCGGGTTTGGTTCGTGTTCAAAAATTTTTGAGTTGATAAAAAAAATTCTATATTTAAATCATAATAAAAAACTAGACATAAATTTGATATAAAAAATAAATTTTTTATTTTATTTATAGGCAAATATAGTTAAAAATACAAAGCATATAGTCATGTATCAATTTTAAAAATTTTATTTAGACGTATTAGCATAATATCTTCCAAGAGTTGTTCACTCATCCTCGATCTATGTGGTGAAAGAATGAATTTCAAATGTGAAAAAGATCTTTCAACGCTAACCTATGTTAAATGTATTTATATGTGAAAATATGATAAATTAACTTGGGTTGCAGGAACAGCAAATAAGATTTTAGATAAAATATATAATTCAGGGTGTTCCAGCTTAGCAGAATCCCAAAAATGCAAAATATTTTCCTTCTTATTTAATCTTTTATAATCGCTAAATCCAGTAATTATTGTTCCAATACTTTTCTCAGCAATCGTTGGCCCTCTTTTAAGTATTTTCTCCTGCCTTTCTTTAAGTTGTATCAATTTCTCTAAATCATCTTCTTGTTCAATAACTTCATCGGAACTAATATCATCAGATAAAATCGGCGTTGTTAAGCTTTTAATTCGTCTCCATAAATTGACAAGATGCCTTTTCGCACAAATCTTATCATCATCACTAAGTAATACCTGTAATATTTAAGGATTTATATTTAAATATTCCATAAAATAACAATATTAATATAAATCTAAAATAATTAATTTACTAAGCTTTTAATTAACCTTGTATCTTGGGTCCAGGTATATGGCAGCTAAGAGAATTTCGTTCTTTATAAACCTTTCTTATCTGTTCTTAAGACAAGAATATAGTAATTGAGCAAAATGGTTTGGATATTTTTCCAGTTCGATGCAGCATCTTAACCATGCTGCATAAAAATCTGTCAGTGTTAACTGTTCAGATTGGAATTGTTTGGTTGCGATTTTTAGCGGTTTTAAAATTTCAACAATCGTTATTATCTCTTTCCAATCCTCAGTCAATAAATAATCAGATTGCTCTGAAAAAAAATCTTCGATATTGGCTTTTAGTAAAATCAGCCTTTCTGACATATCATGGGTTGAATGCCATCTGTGGCAATCTAACACAGGCTTAGGGAGTTTCATATTTTTTAATAACTTTTGGTAAGTGGGATGTCTTAATTTTAAATTTAGGCTCCTAGCTTTTGCAATGGTTTCCACAATAGGTGATAATTTTATAGCATCTTGAAGTGCCAGCTGAAGTGTGTGAGCTGCACACCGTACACTATAAATCGGATAGGATATAATAGTTGATAAAAAAGTATTTTGTATATCATCAATATCATATTTATATACATTTACATCCATATTTTCCTCATCTGCTGATTCACTCCTTATATCATAATCAGTTTCAGGTTGCAGGAGCTTTATAGCTCTTAAAAAATTACAACCATTATCAGAAGTAATTGTGTATATTTGTTCAATATTAATTTTAAATTTTAGTAAAGTTTTTAATATATTCTCTTTTATATATTCTCCTGTACATCTCTCTTTCAGCTCTACAATTCCAAGAGTCCTCAAATTTATAATGGACTTTGATATAAATTGAATATTTACACCAAGAATTGACCTATCTAGTCGTTGAACTGCATCAACTTTTAAACTTATTAATTTTCCTTCTACCACTCTCGATATTTTGTCTCTAATTGATTGGGCTGTTTTATTAATAGTTCTGGATAAATTTTCTTTGTTTATAACTAAATTGAGCCCAGATAGGAGTGGATTTATAATTCTTTGAAATCCCGAATCTTCAATAATTGATAAAGGCCGGCCATTTACAGTAACAAGTTCTAGTATAGAACTCATCAAATCATTAGATGATATATTTTTACTTATATGCTTTTTTGGAAAAAAGGTTTCTATATTAATTTTAGGTTTTTTTGCCAATAACAATTCCTGATATTTGGTTTTTTCATTTAAATAATTTAAATATTCATTGTTGTGATTTCTTTCCAGGTGTCTTTCTAAATTTGACAAGTGATTACCAGACATTTTTACTTTGCATTGATTTTTTTTCTATTGTATTAAGGGTAAAATGCTTATCAAATATGACTTTATCTTTAATCTTAAATCTATAAAAAGAGAACAATTTTTTTAAATAGCAATGATTTCAGAATTAAAGATATTTATAAATTTAATTTCATTTATAATGTGGACTTCATTAATATCTTGTAAAAATTAATTTAACCAAAAATAAATGATTAGCATATATAAATTTTAAAATCATTTTAATAAGTTCACAAAAACTGTCCTACATTTAACAATTTTTAAGTTAGATGTTTAGAATTTTTTAAATTAACAATATAATAATTTTTACTTTGATTTGTTGTTAACCATTTTCTTCTAATTAATAATCTTTAAGAATAATAAGATAAAAATTTAAAAATAAATGGCGTAAATTAATTCAATTGTTTAAAATTTTTTAACACTCCAATAGGAATCGAGAATTAATTTAAAAATGGCATAAATGAATTAAGTTGTTTAAAATTTATTAACACCTTATTTAATTGGAAATTTGAAAATATAATATTTGTATTTACATATATTAATATATGATTTTAAATAATACACTGAACCCGGTTGAACCCGGGTTCAAATAAAATTCTTGGGTTCGGTTCGGGGTTTTGAAAATTTTATAAATGGGGTTCAGATTCGGTTCGGGTGAGTTTTTTTCTAAAAACCCGGGTTCACTTCTCCGGGTTTAGGTTCGAATCCCTGGTTTAAAGTATATTTTGTGGTTATTTTTTTCCCCGTTATTTCCCGTTTTTCCCCCAATTTTCCCGGAGAAATTTTTCCTGAACCAATTTTCCCAGGAATTTTACATCTATAATTGGCATCAATAATTCACCCAAAATTTAAGCTCAATTGGCCTTTTATTCTGCCACAAAATTTGTTGAAGAAAGGTTAATTGCCCATTTAGAAAATATACAGGGTCAACCATATGCAGATCCTTCTAATGAATGCATGGATATATACCTTTTTTGAGAAAAACTCGTCACAAAATGCTCTCTCTTTCCATTAATAATATTTTTTATTCTAATGATGATTCAGTGATTATTTTTAATAATTATGTTAATTAAAAAATAACATTTATTGAATATAACACACCTTTACCATCAAGAGCTCCTGTGGAGTGCTTGTTTAGTAAAGCTAAACATGTACTTAATGAAGAACGTGGTTGTTTAAATGATGATAATTTAGAGAAAAATTTATTATTAAAGGCTAATTTAATTATAAATAAATATATTCTAATTGTTACACTTATATTCTATTATTCAATGACATATAATAATACCTAGACTGACGATTCATTCATTAATAGTGTACATCAATACAAATCAGCTAGAGACGCCATCTTGGTTACTGTAATAAATATTAAAATTTTAAACGAGAGCCTAATTTTATATTATATCTGATGCAAACTTTATTAAAGAATTGCCTGATCATCGAGATAATAAGAAAGTAAGTTATCAATTTAATATTAGTTTTTAACATGAAAATAATTATTATAAAGGTTACCAAAATGGCGGGTCCAGCTGATTTGCTTTTAACGACGCTTAAAAATGCATTTTAATGAATGAATCGTCAGTCTAGGTTTTATTATATGTCATTGATTCAATTACAATAAATTAATACCATATTTTTTTATTTTTTATATTAGTTAATTTTGCATCGATCAGAATTTTAAATAAGTAAAGGATCGTGATCGCGATCCTTTTTTAAAAAAAAGGTCGATCTTGGATTTCGACCCTCTTCTTTTTCAAAAGATCGTGATTCGATCTTTTTAAAAGGATCGATTAACAAGCCTGAAATATTAAAATTGATTTTGTTTTGAATTAATAAATAATTATTTAATATCCGAAGGTGGTAAAAAAAATTATTTTTGCTTTGACCCTTAATAACTCAGGTAATATAAAAGCTAGTGAGTTCAAATTTCACTTTTGCTCCAAGTATAATATATATAATCTTTACACAAATTTTTATCAGAATTCAAAGGATCGGCCAAAGGGTGTTTAAAAAATATTCATTTTAAAAATAAGTAACGATTAAAAAGCTCCAATATGCTAAAATTAAACGTTATTAATTAGATATCATGTAATTAAATAATAACATATTAATTTTAAAAAATCAGAAAGCTAGATATAAGCAAATTTGAATGTCAAAATAAAATTATGGATTAATTTTCTTATCATATTTTATCACTACTCAAATTTTTTTTAAATTTGAAAGGGTTGGGTTAGAAAGTGATCAATTTTTTATAGAATTTACTCTATATGAGAAATTTCAATACCCTGCAGACAAATCCAATTATCTTATACAAGTAAAAATTATATTTTTAAAATTTATTCACTATTATAATCAAATTGTGTAACGCAAAAATTATAATATATTTGTGAAAATACCTAGCTTCGGGTTCGTCCAAAGAGTCTAAATTTTCGCACAAGACAGAGATAATACTTTCATATTTGTTGGGATACTTACGAAAAATATCCTTTTATAATTATGAAATTGTTATCAAATTATCATATAATACACTTAAAGTTGCTGAATGACAAATTAATCTAGGGTGTCTTACCTAGTTACCTAGCTTAATTTGATAAGTAAGATATAGAAGAAATTAATTAATTAACATTTTCCATTAATAAGTTAAATTAATCTGAATTTAAACAAATAATAATAGCGTCAAATAAAATATTGATGCAACTTTTTTAAAAAAATTCCCCCAAATCTGAAAGTATATTGCCCTAATTTTTATAAAAATATGTTTTACCACTTTCTTCTTATCACATTCAAACGTTGATATGGTCGAATATATAATTTACTAATTCAAATATTCTAAAGAAATGATGGAATAATTTATTTATGCCAGTTTTAGAACCAGAATCAATGGTGACATAATTTGAAATATTAATGCAAGGATTTTAAGCTCATTATAAAAAAGGAACATATTACTTAATAACATAAAATTCTCGTAACTATGAATAACTTGAACTGTGATCATTCTTTACTATATATTTTATTTTATTTTTTATCGTATTTAGGCTTTTCTCCAGATTTTTTTTGAAGAAAATAAAAGAGACACTTATACTAAAAATTATCTAAGTAATTGAATAATATAGATTTGATTAATAATTTAAAAATCATATGATCCTCAAATTTACAAATCATTCATAAGCATAAATTTTTTAAATATCAAATTTAACATTACCATACCTTGATAACAACGATAGCCTCCTGAACTACATAATTAACTTTAGTTTGGATCAAATCGAGTAAGGTAGAAACACATTTTTGGGCAGCAGGTCCAACCTTAATAGCGCATCTTCCTATCGCTCGAACAGATTTCCGTACGAAATCAACGTCGACCTCGGTTCCGTATCTTCGATTATATAACCATGTGAAAACAATGAGTAAAATAAATAGCCATTATCAGCAAATGTGGGTGTACATTTAATTAAATACTTCCACAAAGCCAGGTTGGTTAAAAAGATGAAGAGTATGTAATAACTGTTGTACTCGTAGTTTTATATATGAATTTTTATTATTTTTTGCATAATGCCAATCAACCAAAATAAATAAGGTTGATTGGATTATAGTTAACGTTGAAGAACACGTGATTTTATATTTTTTTCGTGTTCGAAGATAATGGTAAAAAAAACATTATTGGAAAATTATTATTTTTTTTTTAAAATATATGATTATAAAATGGATATATAATTGTTTTGGAGATTTTTTTTGTAAGTTGTGCTTTACTAATAAAGAATATTTTGTGTAAATTAATTCTAGCTCCTAAAGGAACAATTATAAATTACCGGTTAAGTTTAGGAAAGGTTGAGAGAAAGGGATTTTTGTTTGTTTTTATACTTTTTTTTCAATAACCAGTGAAGTTATTTTGGAAAGGTAACTAATTAAACAAGTTACATTTTTAAAATTTACTAATTATATTTCTCTAAAGTTAATTATATTGCGAGTATAAATTATTTATATAAACCAATTATAGTAAATACTTTTCCGATTTACAAATTTCAATTTAAAGAGAAATGAAAATGCAATTTAAATTTATAAAAAATAATTTAACTGAAATTATACCACAAAGTTATATTTATTTGCACTAAAAAATGTAACACAATATAATATTTAGTTTCCAAAAAAAATTGAGCTTAATTAATTTTTATTTGACCAACAATAAACTTTTCCAAAATTGGTTTCTAAAAGGCGTGCAAATTTTCCCCAAATTAGGTTTCTCTAAACTAAAAAAACGTCCTATAGAAGCTCTTAATGAAAGATATTATATTTAATAAGCATATATTTTAAATTTGGGAATTCATCAGTATATTCTCGAAACACTAGTAATAACTAATGAGGATAAAACGTTTCTAAATGCAATATTCGCTGATTCCATTTTGCAAATTTCAAAATTTTTTTTATAAACTTTGCTTTGTAATAAAATTAACAAGGAAATTTTAAAAAAATGTTAAAAATAAAAACTCACTCTTTCAGCTCGGCTAGAACTTGCGCTATATTACTCTCATTAGCCAATCTGATCATGATATCAAGTTTTTCCAGCTTAACATATATAGGGTCATTGTATTTCACGAAAAATACTTTCATTTCGTTTTTCAGAATATCGGGTCTAAATATTTTATATAATAAATAAACATAATATAGAGATAATATGTTGGAAAACAATTAGTTGCTCTAATTCTCAAGCCTCATATAGTGCGATTCAAGACAATTCCTTGCTGAGATGCACTGTCACTTTTTTTTAGCTGATACTGATATCATCTAAATATTCAAAATATGGGCCGATGCCATATTTTTAGTAATTTAAAAAATGCAAGTGTTATTTATTTTTAAGACATGCAAAAAAATATTAGAATTGAATATTTATCTCGAAAAGAACACTATGTGATTTAGTTGCTTGCATCATAGGCCCTATAAGCTACAGTCCTGGGGCGTTTTGTCAAATATGAGATATATTATTAACCATTAAGCTTATTTTTAATTTTAATTAAAAAATTATTTAATTATTATATGAAATTGAAAACAATAAAAATTATTCTTCAATATTATCAGCAAGATTTCTTGTGAGTAAAATGAGCTTTTACTAAATTTCATTAGCTGACATACAACCAGTTCATATTAACATTTATGATATAAGATAATAAAATAATAATTTTGGTTTTATTTTGATAAGGAATATTATTTATTAAATGGTCATTTATGGCTATGGGATAGTGGTATAGGTAATATCATGTATTAATGCACCCCTGATTCCTTGTGGTAAAATAACTTATATATTTTCCTAATAATAAAAACAATACCTTTTTTGAACAATCAAATTGATGTTTCTCAGAGCAACATATTGAATTTCAGGCTCGGCTGATAACAGCGTTACCAATGGAGGTGCTAATTTCTTGCTCAAAGAGTTGACATATTCATTGTTTTGTTGCAATGACTCCATGAATTTCATTAATACCTTAGGGAAAAAATAATTATGCACCATTATTTCAATCCATATATTTTTATTTGGCATCTACAAGGGCTAAGCATTTATCATTTTAACTCATTTTTATCTACACTTTTTCTTATTTGTTATAATAATATATAAATCGCATCTCTTTCTATCTAATGAATCCTTGTGGCTTAAGTCTTCCTTAATCATAAAAATAAATAGAGAATTAATTAAATTAAAAAAGGTTTCAGTATCGGTTCTGGATTTTTTTTATTCCCATTTCTTGAATCAGTTTGCTCCACATAATTTATGGTATATTCCAGTTTTAAAACAAGGTAGGTTCAGATTCCAATTCCCAACTGCAATCAATATTATTTGTTCAAATTCAAAAGATGGCTATAGATTAGGAAATTTAATTCAGGATTCCAAGTTACTAAAAAATTGTAATATTACCATATTTACAATTTACTAGTATATAAATGTGGTAAGCTTATCTGAAATAAAGACTAATCTGGAATCTCTCAATAATCCCCAATTGAGATATTTTTAAATTTGATTTCAGGAAATGAATCCCAACATATAGAGAGAACCTACCCTGTAAATCTCAGATAATTATGCCATGAACCTTTGAATAAATCTTATCTTTTATATTATAGATATTTCATATAAAAATAATGTGAAAAATATATGGAGAAACTGTTTGAAATTGGTTGGGGCACTACATACATGCTGAAAATTTCCGAAATCAATTAGATTTGAAATTTTTAACACTGGAGGTATTGTCCGTATTCTAGATAAACTTGTCACATATATTGGTTTGCAATGGATATTTATATCATAAATATTGATTTGATTGGTACTAAATTTACCTTGACAGCGGATAATACGACCCCAGCATTGGCATGGGCTAATCTAGGACTAACTCTTTCGCATATGCTTTATATTTAATAAAATTATAGAATGTTGATCTTAAGAATTCCAAACATAAACGGCTTTAGAAACTTATTAATCAAGCCAGGATAATCAGAAAAAAATTTATCAGGTTTTTACAAAAAATATATTTATCCAACATATTCTAGAAAAATCTAAAAATATGTGACAATAATTATTTCATTTAATCAACCTTTGAGCTTCTTTTTCGTCTTTTGCTTGATAATTAGCTAAACAATCCAAAATAAAAATTTGGCCCCATCTAAGCATAAAATTTAATATTCATATTAATTAATTTTATATAATTTATGGTGTTTTTTAATAATATTTACTCAGTGCATTCATTCAAAGCCGCCAATAGTTTATTGACAGATTGGGTATTGAGATTCAAAATTTTAAGTGGATCGGGCGAATTTTCTGCAATTTCGCAAAGAGCAGCAACTGCATTGGCTACAACCTTTAATTACAATTTATTCATTTTAAAAAAAAAATTTTTCTATAAATTTTAAAATATTTTATTTTTAAAAATATATAACTTATCTATAATTCCATGAAGTAGTAAGAAATAATGTAGTTGTAAACGAATGTGTTCAAATTAATTGTGAATAAAATCTATTTGCTACTCTATACTAGTATAATGGGGAGTGATTCTGGATTGTTTTCTTCCTTTGACCTTGATTGACAGCAAATTTGTCATGGAGTTCATCAACTGACTTATTCATGTACACCCTAACCTCTTTCACTATCATTTTAGTATCCAGGCTGTCAGAATTTTTATCAATGTTTTATATGGTATTAAGACAAATTTTTCTGCATCAACCAAGAAAATACCACGGGGGGTGGTTTCGTGATAATTCAAAGTCGCAAATTTGAAACTAGTCTTGGCCGCCATTTATTAAGCAAGGAATTTTAGGTATTCTTATTTTTCAAAATCATTATCAAACTTTATTATATAATGAAAGAAGGAGAACTAAAATCAAATAAACTGCACATAATTATTATATGTTACACGTTTCTTTTAACTATAAATAACAAAAAATTCAATCTATGTTAACAAATAATTTACATAAAATTAAAATGTATCTATCTAAAAATTTTATAAAACTTCAGGTGTTCAATTGTGTACCGATATTTTTTATAAATCGGATTGGGCCGATATCTCACCCCTTTTAAAATATCGGTTATCGGCATCATAAAATTTTCCGATCCGATAAAAAATGGCGTTTTTAACAAAAATAAAATATTATAAAATTTTTAAAAAAAGTTATATCTAAAATCCATTTATTTTTATAAATAAAATCGAAATTCATTTTTAAGCTTAATTTTTTTAATAATAATAATTAATTAATAAACATTCCGCCATATTGTTATTTTTTTGCGCATTCTGTTTATAAAAGTGTGCGATAATCTCTTCAGAATCTTATACAGCCCCCATCTCCACAGACTGACATCTGATGAATTGGAAATTTTGGTATTTCTAAAATCCTCGATATATTAATTTTAAATATTTATTTCAAATTTTATAATATAATTGTTTATTACTTATTATGTAGATAGATTAATGTTATTACTTAAATAAAAGTGATTTATCAATAAAAATATTTATATACTTTTAGAATTGCAATTGAATTGAATATAAACTATAACTGATCATTATAATATATTTAAATGACATATTTTATATAGTTAAAACTATAAAAATTATATTAAAAATTTGGTATCTTTACAGAATATAAAATTAGATATGATATCGGATCGGTAATCGGCCGATATCAATTCAATATCGGGAATATTGGATCGGCCTCCAAAAAGTGGTATCGGTACACTCCTAATGCAAAGTGTAAACAAATATTAGCAACTCAATTATAAATTATTTTAAAGTAATAATAAAATTTTTCTATTTCTTTTTTTTAAATAAAAATTATTTTATTATCTTACTCATCTGTTTCCTTCAAATATTTTTCAATATACTCCATTTCTAACCAGGGTGCTTATATTTTTACTTAAAATGGTTTTTATTTTATTTTAAAATTAATTTTGTAACAACAAATTTATTTATAGGAAAACTTCGAATTGAAAAAGCATCAAACAATATATCATTTCTGGAATCTAATTATTTTATGATGAATTAGTGGGCAATTTAATAGAGGATTATTTATCAAAGAAAATTAAATGCCCGAAAATCAACTACAATAATATCTAAAGCAAAATAGGTCATTCCATGATCATAAATCAACCAAAAAATGTGATTTTGGAACCCTGTCTAAAATGAATGAATCTTGATATGAAAAATAGGTAACTCACTGAAACTCGGGGAAATTTTTAATATTGTTTTTTTATTTATTTTTTTTTACTTAAAAATAATAAAAATGCGATCATGTGGATATTGGTGGAAATTTTTTGATGTAATAATAATTCAAAGTTTCATTACTCAAAAGTTTCAAAAGTTCCATATTTTTTTCTTGTGAAAATTTCCACAATTCTTTAGTGCTATAAAAATAGAACGTGTTCGCGTTCAACGTTCCTTTACAAAAATCGAACGCGTTCACGTTCAAAAAAAAGGAACGCGTTCGCTTTCACGCTGATTCAAAATTTTATGATATATATTTTTTTTAAATTTAATTTAATAAATGTCTTATATGTTTTAACACAATATATTAGCCATGTTAAAAAATAATATAGTTTTATTTTGATAATATAATTATAAATACAATAGCTATACTAAAAACGCGCTCTACAGAGGCAGATGAGGGGATTGCGATATTATACTTAATAAACAACTCTTTTAATGTGGGGAATTTATTAAAAACATTTATTATTTGTCTTTTGCTTCAAAAAATTGAGATAAGTTATCCTCCTCCAATCTATACTCTACTTCCTCATCAAAAAAAAAGATATCTCAAAATTAACAGTTCTTGCATTATCATTTCTAGGGTTTTTAATGCATTTTTTCAATAACACTATAAGTTTATTTTTTATAGGTTCGTTGTTATAGTTTTATCCATGGCCTTTGAAGCTTGAATGCTGGATGTATAATTGCAAAATCATTATATTGTTCTTCATATATACGTTAAAATCTTCAAAAAAATAAAATATATGTAATTAATTTGATAGTGATACGTTTAATCCTATTTAGACCATATTTTAGGTCTCTAATTTTTTTTAATTTTAAAATAACTATCGTTATTGTTGGGGTTAAATAGTCCAAATGCATTTTTTCTTCAAATTTAATAATTTTATTTAAATAATTAATATTACAATCAAATGTCGTTATAAATTGGAACTTGAAATTTTGAAACTGATATAATATTTTTGGGCAAATTTTACATTTGATAACTATTGAAGTTAATATACGATGTCACTGTAAAATATTTATCATATTTGGGCTATGGTAATGTTATTTGTCTGACTTTAAATTTTCAGAATCAGATGATGAAGAAATAATAATATCCATGATTATGCAAATCTATTAAATTAAAAATATTCAAATTAATAAACTATAGGCGTGTTAAAAAAATTGAAATGTGAAAAAGGAAAAACAGTTGATTATAAAATACAAGACCTTTTTCTTAAAAAATTTAGATTAATATCAAATTTTTCTAATAAATAAAATTAAGTGTTTTTAAAATTGAACGAACGTTAAATTCGAAAGTATTCGTCTTAAAAAAGGAACGCTTCACGTTTAAAGTGCGTCAAAAATAAAAGGAACGCCGTTCATGATTTTTTTAAAAAACGAATTTCGTTCATACTACAATTCTTTAATTACATTAAGAATGGAAAAGGTGTGTTTATTGTTGTTAAACGGCTCGTTTTGAGCTGATTTTTAAAACTCATTATTTTATCCATAAAAATATTATGCAAGCCTGAAGATTTTGCTCATAGATGGAACAAAGGTCTAGATATATATATTATCGAAATCTCGAGGCTTAGGCAATATTTTTCTAGCTAAAAAATTGAGTTAGCAGTTTTAAAAAATCGACTCAAAACGGACTGTTTAACAACACTAGGTGTGTTATATTAAATGCTGGCCTATAATTTTTTTTTGTGAAAATTTTCACAATTCTTTAATTTTACATTAAAAATAGAGTATATTATTTAAAAATTTTAAAAAGGTGTGTGCTGTATTGGATGCCACTAAGTTAATACTATTAAATTAAATACTATAAAATTAAGCAGTTTATTTGAATAAACATAATATTTAAACTGATAATATATAGATATATAATTTTATGGAAAAACAAGTTCAATATAAATTTATATCATTTAAATATTTAATTAATTTACTTAAATTATAAATATTTTTAATATTAAAATAAGAATATATATAATGAGAGGAAGATTTTCTTCCAGTTTTGGGGATAAGATCCCATCTATAAAGTTTCTGCTGTGATTGACCGAGTAATGATCATATCCATATACATTAAGATTGTAATAACTTGAAAAATATTAAATTTTAAGATTTGTGCAATAACATATTTATTATTTTTTAATAAAAAAAATATTAAAAAATTAACACCAATATCTAGACAATAGCATATTAATTATTATTTTTTTTAAATATTTAAAAAAAAATAAATAATACTATAAATTTCCCTGAGTTTCAGTGAGTTACCAATAAATATAGAGCTTGGCCAATATTTAATATCAGATCAAGGCAGATATCTACAGGATAAGAACAATATTTCTAATTAAATATTATAATTGCTTTTGAGGTTTATTTAACTTTTCCGCATTCGTATGGGCAATCATGGCCTTATTTTTTTATTTCACAAGGGGCATAAGAAATGATGGCTATCCATTAGCCAAGGTAGATCTTGTAATTGCTACACATACCTGGAATTCAGCCTTTTATGACATTATATTAATATCCACAAATGTATATTTATTCTATTGTTGATATACTGGTAAATTTACATTCAATTTATAAGAGAATAATAAATATTTTTATAAAATCAAGTGCTAGACCAGTTAGGTAAATAAATTTTTTAAGGCCCAGCCCAATTTTGTTGAAAACATTTAATGCAGTGCATACATATATCAATTATTATATATAAAATTAAGAATATTCATAAATAATTCAATAACGGTATATTAAATCTATCGTAATAAAATAAAATATTATCATATTACATAATTTTAGCATATTATTTTAATTGATATCAAATCTGGTTTATTATAAAATATTTTTTAAATACCATAGGATTAGGATCTGATAATAAATCCCGCAAAGAATCTAAAAAACCTTGTTCTTGCACTAATGAATGATTAATATCATGCAACTTGGCAACACAAACTGCTGCTGTTTTTCTAACATAAGGGTCTTCATCCTATAATAATTAAATTTCAATTAAATTATCTTAAATAATTTTACTCTATACCTTCAAGCATTTTCTTAAAGGCTCACATAAATACTCAGTTATTTTATCAACTCTAATACAACCCATGGTTCTGACAGCAAGGGCCCTAATTAAAGGGTTTGTGTCTTCACAGTCCTTTAGGTTTTCAATTATAATTATAATATTAATTTAGGTAAACCTTAACAAATGTATTAACAGCCATTATTGCCATGTCAGGCTGACTTTTAGCATAATTCATAAGATAAAGATATACTAATTTTTTCAGTTCAAGATTATCAGTTTGCATGCAATTAACTACATCAGGAAACAAGGCACTTAATAAATATTATAAGTAAAATAAATTAAGGCTTAACCAACCTGACATCCTTTCCTACTGTCATACTAGCTATAACTTTTTTTACAGCCTCACGCTTTTTTTCTTTTTTATCACTGTTTAGCTCATTTTTTAATTCAAATATTTCTCCTAAAATTTTAATATACATTGTGTAAAATTTTTAATTCACCTTTTTTTGTAGTAGTGAAATATTTTGAGTCAGTCATTAAATTTTGATTGAAAATAAAATCTAGTTTTAAAAAGAATTCTCCTTTCGGCGGTGTAACTAAGCTGAGATTGACATGTAAACTGAAAATGGACAGGTAAACTGAGAATAGACAGGTAAAATTTATTTTTATTTTATAGCCAATCAATTTTATTTTAAAAATATAAGTAAAATGTTTTTATTATGTTAATCAAATTTATCCATAATTAATTTTATCTAAATAAATAAAATAGAATATAGAAGAAATTGTAGTCCATAAATTTAAAATTTATATAGAACAGTTATGTTATATAGAAAATATAACACTCATAATAAATTTTAAAAATCATAAATATTTTTCGGTTAGATGGCGTAATAGAATAAAATTTAGTTTTAGATTAAAAAAAAATATGAATTATAGGAGCATAATTCTTTACTTTGAATTAATTTATTTGGTTAAACTGATATGATCATAAATGAAAAAAATTTTAAGTTTCCTTCATTATATTTTGAGTTATGATGTAAATTCTCAGTTTAGTCAATTTTTTTTAGACTATTGGGATATGTCATTGGTTACACCCGAATTCGGAACGAAACAGCGAAAATCAGAATATCGATAAATAAAAAAATGTTTCTATAATGTATTACTCCACTATGAAAGTCATAAATAAATATTATATCTATTATTAATATGTTAATTTTTTCCTAAATTAAGTTATTAACATGATATTTTATATATTGTCAATTTATAAATACTAATTTTTTGTATATTAAATTAATATATATGGCCATTAGATAAACTCTATCTTCTTTAAATATTATCAATAAAATACTAGTATTTTGTTTACTTTGTGTATTTTTAATTAAATATAATATATAATATTAATTTTTTAAATATATTATAAAAATGATTTATACAAAATTACTTATAGAGCAATAAATATGTCATTACTATTTTCACAATTGTTATGGACTAATGCGCCTAATATAATACGAATCATTTTTAGATCCTAAACATGGTATTTATATATTTTCAATTTATAAATATGATTTTTGTAAATTTAATTTTAAAGCATGGCAAACAATATATCTTTCTTTCTTATAAAAATTCATTCATAGTAAATAAGGGTTTTTTTAATTATTTATATTTTAAATAATAACTTTCCTATGTCCCTATTAAACTAATAGGCTTTAGATTTTTTATTTTTAGTGTTAAAGTCTTCTTTATATATAAATAAATGATTTATTTTAAGTATTTATACATTGCATATACAGATTGGTCATTTATATTTGTACTGAATAATATACCTATCTATAATATATATAAAAGCCTTGTCACACTGTGGCAGTCACACTTTCACAATTTATAATATATAAAAAATAATATTTTTCGAACCGAAAACGTAAAAAACATTTAAGCATTTTTGGATAGAGAATTTAATTCTGAGTTCAATGATATAAAAATACTTAAAATTACGTTAAAATGTTAGCTTTTATCCTTTGTTAGTTTTCGCGACAAAAAAAAAATTTCTTCGAACCGGAAACGTAAAAAAATACATCTAAGCATTTTTGGATAAAGAATTTAATTCTGAGTTCAATGATATAAAAATACTTAAAATTACGTTAGAAATGTTAGTCCTTTCCCTTTGTTAGTTTTCGCGACAAAAAAAATATTTTTCGAACCGGAAACTAAAAAACATCTAAGCATTTTTGGATAAAGAATTTAATTATGAGTTCAATGATATAAAAATACTTAAAATTACGTTAAAAATGTTAGCCTTTTCCCTTTGTTAGTTTTCGCGACAAAAAATAATTTTCGAACCGCATAGGTAAAAAAAATACATCTAAGCATTTTTTATAGAGAATGTAATTCTGAGTTCAATGATATGAAAATACTTAAAATTGTCCTATCTGGGGATGTTGACGCGATGCATATATTGTTTATTTATAAGTGGTATAGTTATCTCTGTAATATATTAGTGTCTCGCCGTCGTTTATTTATATAAAAATAGTTATTATTTTTTTTTTATAATATTATTTTGCAATGTTATTTTTTTTAGAAAAAATAAGGGTAGGTCTATAAGTCGAAAGGCCGCAAGGTCTAAAAGTCGAAAGGCTGCATGATACGAAAGGCTAAAAAATAATATTGAAAATAAAAATAACAAAGAAAATGATTAATGTGTAATTTGATTGATTTATTGCTTTTTTTACGAGAAAAATATTATAATAACATTACATTATAATATATTAAAAAAATGGATAAGATCTTTTCAATTTTTTTATTAATTCTTTGAAATAAATTACGGTTTTAATTTTATTTAATTTTATTAATTTTTAATTTATATTTTTAATTAAATTATATTTATTTATTTAAAAAAAATGGAATATAATATATTAAAAAAATGGAAATTTTAAGATCTTTTCAATTTTTTTATTAATTCTTTGAAATAAATTGCGGTTTTATATTTATTTTTATTTAATTTTTATTTTTAATTAAATTATATTTGGTTATTTTAAAAAAATGGATTATAATATTTCAATTTTTTTATTAATTCTTTGAAATAAATTGCGATTATAATTTTATTTAATTTCATTAATTTTTAATTTATATTTTTAATTAAATTATTTGGTTATTTTAAAATAATGGAATTTTTAAAATTATATGTATATTCTATTTAAGTTTTTTTTCAAAACTAAATTGATAGTAAGTATAACGATATTGTAAGTACTGGATTAGGGAAAAGGCTAACATCTTATATGCAATTTTGAATATTTTTATATCATTCTACTCAGAATTAAATTTCCTATCTAAATATGCTTTGATGTATTTTTTTACGTTATTGGTTCAAAAAATAAATTTAAAAAATTTTTTTGTGGTAAAAACGTTGGAAGGGAAAAGGCTAACATCTTATATGCAATTTTGAATATTTTTATATCATTCTACTCAGAATTAAATTTCCTATCCAATTATGCTTAGATGTATTTTTTTACGTTTCCGGTTCAAAAAATAATTTGTCGCGAAAACGTTCGAAGGGAAAAGGCTAACATCTTAAGTTTAATTTTATAAATTTTTATATCATTGAACTCAGAATTAAATTTCCTATCTAAATAAGCTTTGATGTATTTTTTTACGTTATTGGTTCAAAAAATAAATTTTAAAAATTTTTTTGTGGTAAAAACGTTGGAAGGGAAAAGGCTAACATCTTATATGCAATTTTGAATATTTTTATATCATTCTACTCAGAATTAAATTTCCTATCCAATTATGCTTAGATGTATTTTTTTACGTTTCCGGTTCAAAAAATAACATTTTTGTCGCAAAATTTATCCTAATTTTGCAGATAACATGTTAGAAATTATTAATCAAATTCATACCCACCCCTTTATCCAGGTAATTATACATGATAAAGATATAAACTTAAGATGTTAGCCTTTTCCCTTCGAACGTTTTCGCGACAAAAATGTTATTTTTTGAACCGGTAACGTAAAAAAATACATCTAAGCATAATTGGATAGGAAATTTAATTCTGAGTAGAATGATATAAAAATATTCAAAATTGCATATAAGATGTTAGCCTTTTCCCTTCCAACGTTTTTACCACAAAAAAATTTTTAAAATTTATTTTTTGAACCGATAACGTAAAAAATTACATCAAAGCATATTTAGATAGGAAATTTAATTCTGAGTTCAATGATATAAAAATTTATAAAATAAAACTTAAGATGTTAGCCTTTTCCCTTCGAACGTTTTCGCGACAAAAATGTTATTTTTTGAACCGGAAACGTAAAAAAGTACATCTAAGCATAATTGGATAGGAAATTTAATTCTGAGTAGAATGATATAAAAATATTCAAAATTGCATATAAGATGTTAGCCTTTTCCCTTCCAACGTTTTTACCACAAATAAATTTTTAAAATTTATTTTTTGAACCAATAACGTAAAAAAATACATCAAAGCATATTTAGATAGGAAATTTAATTCTGAGTTCAATGATATAAAAATTTATAAAATTAAACTTAAGATGTTAGCCTTTTCCTTTCGAACGTTTTCGCGACAAAAATGTTATTTTTTGAACCGGAAACGTAAAAAAATACATCTAAGCATAATTGGATAGGAAATTTAATTCTTAGTAGAATGATATAAAAATATTCAAAATTGGATATAAGATGTTAGCCTTTTCCCTTCCAACGTTTTTACCACAAAAATTTTAAAATTTATTTTTGAACCGATAACGTAAATACATCAAAGCATATTTGATAGAAATTAATTCTAGTTCAATGATAAAAATTTATAAAATAAACTAAGATGTTAGCCTTTTCCTTCGAACGTTTCCGCAAAAATGTATTTTTGAACCGATAAAAAAATACATCTAAGCATAATTGGATAGGAAATATAATTCTGAGTAGAATGATATAAAAATATTCAAAATTGCATATAAGATGTTAGCCTTTTCCCTTCCAACGTTTTTACCACAAAAAAATTATTAAAATTTATTTTTTGAACCGATAACGTAAAAAATTACATCAAAGCATATTTAGATAGGAAATTTAATTCTGAGTTCAATGATATAAAAATTTATAAAATTAAACTAAAGATGTTAGCCTTTTCCCTTCGAACGTTTTCGCGACAAAAATGTTATTTTTTGAACCGGAAACGTAAAAAAATACATCTAAGCATAATTGGATAGGAAATTTAATTCTGAGTAGAATGATATAAAAATATTCAAAATTGCATATAAGATGTTAGCCTTTTCCCTTCCAACGTTTTTACCACAAAAAAATTATTAAAATTTATTTTTTGAACCGATAACGTAAAAAATTACATCAAAGCATATTTAGATAGGAAATTTAATTCTGAGTTCAATGATATAAAAATTTATAAAATTAAACTAAAGATGTTAGCCTTTTCCCTTCGAACGTTTTCGCGACAAAAATGTTATTTTTTGAACCGGAAACGTAAAAAAATACATCTAAGCATAATTGGATAGGAAATTTAATTCTGAGTAGAATGATATAAAAATATTCAAAATTGCATATAAGATGTTAGCCTTTTCCCTTCCAACGTTTTTACCACAAAAAAATTATTAAAAT